TTACATTTGGCCGCAGCCCTCAGATAGATTTTCATTTTGGGGAAAAGCTTTGTGCAGCCTTGATATATGTATATAAACTGAAACAGCTGGACTAGTGCATCCTAAATTTATCATTAATTATTTTAATACAACAGTCATTTCTGCAGTTTTTGGGGAGGTCGCCTCCTAATAAATGTCCTTACAGAAAATCTAACTGCTCATTTTAAATCGTTACTTTGACTTTTAATACTTAAGTACAGAAAATATAAGATACTTTAAGACTTTTACTCAAGTAATATTCCTAAATGAGACTTTAACTTTTACCAAAGTAATTTTCTGGTAAGGTATTTGTACTTTTACTGAAGTATCTTTTTGTGGTACTTTATACAAACATGCAGACTGATTTTAATCCATGTGTCTTCCTGTAGCGGAGGTCCAGCAGCTCATTGACTCAGGATGAGGATGAAGAAGCAACATTCACTCAGCCGAGCACATCACAGGTCCAGAGGGGACTGGAGAAACTCAGCCAGGCACAAGTCGACCAGAAGGTAACAAACAGTCCAGCTGGACTGAATGAAAACAGAGAAGCTCTGTTTGACCTGCAGCTGGGCTCTAAACGTGCTCCTGGGCTTTTTAAATAACTGCTGCTAATGAGCAAAGGAGTGAAACTACTTTTTAAAGAATTATTTTAAAACCTTTCTTGTTATCAAAAAGAAAAATGTCTGAGTCCTCTGGACGGGTTCTTCTTTAATGAAAAACCGTCCACCATTAAACGGAGGTGGAGGCCTTCGTGTCCAGTTGTCCTCCTCCTAAAACACTGTTATTGTAAGTATGACTCCGCCCCCTGTGAGTAAAAGGTGTGAATCAGGGCCCTAACGATGGTCAGGTGATGGAGCACATGACCCTCTATGAACAATAGAGCCAATCAAGGCACTAACAACCTATTGTTAGTCAGTGACCCTCTTTTGCATGTGACTAACCTGTTTGTCCGGTGGAGGCGGAGCTTATAAGGCTGAGTTCACCTGAAACTCTCAGACTGAAGAAGTCTCTTGGAGGAGAGATGAAACGTTTCACTAAAGAAGAACCATCCAGAGGACCTACTGATTTTTTCTGTTTGATTTTTCTACCTGGATGACTGCGATGCATCAGGACTGTTCTTGTTCTGCTGCAGACAGCTGAGGTGGTGCAGTACTTCCTGATGAAAGACCAGAAGAAGGTTCCTGTTCGCCGTGCAGGTATCGTATCCTGATGCCTTGAAATATTCTGAAACAGGGTTCAACAAATCCTATTGGCCGACTGCCCGGGGCAGGTAAAACCCATTGTCGGGCAGGTGGGCGTGTCCCAATGCCTGCCCGACC